GCTGCTGCTGCTATGCATAGCACAAGCAAGCAAACATTTTCACTGAAACAGATATGTGTGCTGTACACAAGCACTTTTGTGGGAGAATACAAAAGTATTTTGCGCTTTGGATTTTCATTAAACTTGGCTGGTTGTTAGGGGTCTTCAACTACCCCATTCAGCAACTACTTTTGCTGTTTTGTGTATGTTAATTTAATTCAGAAAAATTCATTTGTGTAACTGCTGTGAAGGATGCAGGCGGCAGTTGGTGTATATTGCAAATTATGCAGTTGAAAAGCGCAAGTGTCTGCAGCAATTGAATTTAATTTTGGTAGATAATCATTTTGACGCTTTTCATAATAAAAATGCATGTTTACATATTAAATTTTTAACAGATTCAGTAGTGATAAAAAAAATTTGAAGTACGCATAAACTCAAAGCCGCTTCCTTATTCTTTTTTTCTTTTTTGCTTGTCTTTTTTTTTCTAAAGGAAATTCAATTGAGGCGCTGCTATTGATTGAAAAATATTTGGATCCCTACAAAGCGGCACATAACATAAGCTACTGCTACTGTAGGTGGCATCCTTTATCCTTTATACTTTGTCGAGTTCAAAGTGCCACTTCTTTTTTACTCCTTTACGAATTTCATTTTCAAGTATTCTGCTCTCTCACTCTTTTGCAAAAAATATTCGAGCGCGCAAACAAGTCAATTATTCGTATTCATGAGTATGCCGGAAAGGACTTTGGTTTCTTGATTTGCTTACCAAAAAAGTTTCATTAAAAATCTTTTGAAAGTTAAATTAGTTTGTTTAAAAAATCATTAAATGATGTTTGATGTAATAGACTCTCAATGTTTGCAATATTTTATAATGACGACGATATTAAAAATCCTTCTGAGTCCACAATTCTGAGTCTTTTTATATGCAATCAATAGGTTTTAATATGAATGAAAACTTCGCTACTTAAAAACCAGTTCAGTATTTATTTCTATTTAATTTTCTATTCTATAATTGCATACATTTTGAAATGGATGTCTATTTGTTGTCTACTTGCACACATTATCAATAGTAAAGGCACTACCAGTTATCAATATTTCAAAAAGTACATTCTCTTTATCTGCTGATATAATTTTGAATACATTGTACTTATAATAAAACCATTTCGTTTTTACAAACATTTTAAATTCGATAAAATCATAAATTAAAGCTTTTTGCCTTTTTAGATCACTGCTTAGTGGGTCTCTCAGATACTTAACATTTCTCAGTACTCAAGGGATGATATGTAAGTACACTTATTTCTTTAATAAATGTTAAAATTTGTAAGAAAGTAAGCAAAGAGAGAATCTACTATAGATTTTGGATTTTGAAGAAGAATTGTTTGAAACAACTTAAAAAGGACATCCCCAAAATGTAGTCAGCATGAAAAAGGTTCTTTCAATTCTTTCAATCTAATAAGAAATAGTAAGTGAAGAAAAGCAATTAACTTCTATAGCATAATTTCGGCACTCGTAACTATCAGTAACTACCAGTATTGTTGATTAAACTATTGTCTATCGCACTACCTCTCTATGTCGGTATATCCAAAGCTTAGAATATTTTTGCGCAAATCTCTCATTTCTTATTGGAAAACTTTTCAAATTTGTTAAATTGCTTGCACAGCTTAATTATTGTCGAGCAACCCAACAAACATTCGAATAAAAATTAATCCAAAATTGCTGAAACAAATTTGTTTTGCATTAATCGCCAAGTCATTCTTGTCTTAAAACAATTTTCGTATCCTTGCTATTGTTTATGCGCTCCTTGGTGTCTGCGTGTCCTTTTTCAGGCGCTCAATGCGAAATTCAAATAAAATAATATTAGCTTAGAAGAATATACAAATCTGTGGCATAATTTTTCAATAAAAATAAATTGTGCGAAATGTTCTTTTGGAAGTTAAATATTCGCACAAATCGAGCAAGAGCAGCAAAGTTCAAAGGCACATCAAGGCAAGTCAATACAAAATCAAACAAACACATCAAATTTTATGATAAGAAAAAGTCAAACGAAAAAAAAAAACGAATATCCAGAAATATGGGCAGATCTATAAATGCGATTTGTGCCATTTCTTACAGCTTTGGATAGGGCGGAAGTCAATAAATTTATGTTGTTGATATGTTTGTGATTTGGTTTCACTGACTTGTAATCGAAACACAAGTGAAAGAAGATATTTGATGTTTTAAGCCCACTTTTGGGCGCAATACATTGCTACTATATGGTATTTGAAATTATTATTGGATTTTACTCTATGCTTTGGTTAATCTCCTTCCAGGAGTAGATACCAAAATATACTAAAATATTCGATTAACACAATTAGTAAACAATAAATGGAAGTTTATTGAACTTTGATTACAAAAGCTTGAATTTATGTTTGGAATTTCAGAACAAAATTATTCCAGATATTTGGTGCTTTTCTATTAATAAATTGCATATTTTAGAATAAATTTGTATATGAATTCAAATATGATTAAAGATAAATAGAAATATAAACTCTGAACATAATGTATAACCAAATTAGTATCTTAAAAATATAAGATTTTTCTTATTAAAATCTTTTTAAAAAAATTATTGAAATTAATTTGCAATAAGAAAAAACATAATGTTAATAAATTAATATTAAAAAATAAAATTTCATAAAAAAATTGTTTAATATTAAAAAATTAGCAAATTACGTTAAGATTTGATTTTAATATACAAATACTTTATTTTCAAAGTATATCACCGCCTGATACAACTTGAATAAAACAGATCGTTTTGTTATATTAGTTTATATGTAGACCAGCCACTAATAGTTGTGCAAAAATTATTATGAACTAACTGGATATAAGCTTATAGTCAAGGTTAAATAGAATTTCCTTTCCTTTTACAACAAAAACGCATAATGCAGAATTATTATTGTCGTACCCCGATAATATCTATATAGTAGAAGACATGAAAGGATTTATAAAATACGATTACATGAGCTAGTATATAGATTACGTAGAGGGTAAGTGAAGAGAGACTATACCTTCTCTTTAGAAGGTAACAGGAGCGATTAAGTCTACGTCCTGAAGCCACTCGTTCATTACAATGACTAAGTGTCACCAATCGCTCACCAATCCCAGCAAGGACTATACCAATAGGTAAGTATTTGTTTGACATAATGCAGTTTAGTACTACTTAAGTAAATCATAAGAATTCAGCAATCTAGTGATTTAGAGTATATATAATTCTCTTGCATTCCAATCATGTATAATATATACATGATAACTAATTTTTTTAGTCAGTATACTTTACACAAGAAAAATTAAAGTGTTGTTTTGAAAGATTAGTAGAAATATCTTTGATTCTACTTTATGGTTCTAACACTGTTATAATTGTTTTCCACTACCGGACTTTTATTAAAACATCCGATTCGATATTTTATGAAATTGGAAATAAAACATACATGAGATATTTGCTGTTTACAGAATGAGGCCGAATATTAAGAGCTTGACATAGCATAAGGCATGTTACAATCGATCTACACTTTTGTCGATTATAGTATTGTTATTGGGTTTTCGATTAACTGAAAGAGGTTTGGAAAAAGAACAAGATCAACATTATGATGAAGATGAAGATAAGGTCTACTGATTTATCGTTCCACTCCAATGAGATTATAACGTTTTTCCATCTGAATACAGGATAGCTTCAAATATTTTCACCCATTTTTGTTTCTACCCATTTCTGCCTTACTGTACCCAATTATCCTCACCTATATTTTGTACAAGTTTTGTTATCCTCTTATGGACTTTTTTTAGATTTGAATAGGTTACAACAAAAAACCTAACTGAAAGAAACTGAAAGAAAGAAGACGAAAGAGAAGCAACTGAGCACTTTCTTTGAAAATCTGAACCCCGAACTAGATCGGAACGTTTCATTATAGAAATATAGGAACTTATTACCTTGGGAAACAACCAGATTTTTGGTGGAACTGTTTTTATCCAAATTTAAATATACATGAGCTGCAAGGAAAAAATGGAAAATGAATAATTGAGCACTTCCTTTGAAAATGTGAAGCACGGACAAGATCGAGACATTCAGTTATAGAAACCCACGAACTAATTGGCTTAGACAATCACTAAGTTTTTGGTAGACACATCTAAATCAAACTTTAGGTATGCATGGACGTTGCAGGGGAAAAAAATAACTGCTACTTACTTTAAAAATGTGAAGTACGGTTAAGATCGAAACATTCCATTATAGAAATATAAATCTACGAACTGCGATTCTTGCACAGAAAAGCAAGCTCCACTTGAAACCATGATCAAAATTTAAGATATATCTTCTAGAATTTGTTTTAGAGTATTTAGTCTATATATATAAATTTATTTTTTATTAAAAAATATATTGTAAAATATTCATACAATGTATATTTTTTCCTTCACATAAACTATAATCAAATAAAATATGTTTTGTTTTTTTTTTCAAATATGTTTTTATAAATTTTTGATATTATCAAGCCATTCTTCAAGTCACTATCTTACTATTTTTTTCTCAATCACGACAATAATTTATTTCACACATTCCATGATTTCAATTTACTATTCACTTCACTCCTTGAAAATTTTAATTTCCCGGAAAATATTTGCCACAGACGAGTACATAACGATTTAATCACAAAAATAATTTACGAGCTTTACATGCAACAAAACAAATACAAACACAAACACAAAACAAAAAACAAAAACAGAAACAAAAAAAAAATGATTAAAAACAATGACAACAAAAGTAAAGAAGGAAGAAAATCAGTAAATCAAGAGACAAAGATTTATATATAAAAACACGCAAAATAAAAAGAATAAATATTTGCCAAAGAAAACGGATAAAATCGAAACCACAACAAAAACAAAGTTAAAAGACAACAACAACAACAACGTGAACGAGTAATACAACATTGACATGCCACACAGAGTTTACGCAGCAACATGCGTTTGCCATGCGATAAACAAAGTAAATCACTACTCACAGTTTGCTGTGTTGAAGTGGCATTTGCTGGCGCAACATTCTGGCCGTGCTGCAAGTAGACTAATGGACCGACAACATTGGCTGATGTCGTTGCTTTTTGCATTTGTGACGAGGGATCATTTGTGGTCTTGTTCAGTAGAGATTTCGGCTGTTGAACAATTGGCGGCTTGCCGTTGTCAAATTGGTAATACATGACATCAGTAGCGGGCGCAGCACCGCCATACAACATGCTACTGCCAACACCAACACCAACTCCGCCACCATTGTTGATGCTACCACTATTGGAAGGCTTATAAACTGGTGGCGGATCAGCAGTTTGTGCGCCTGAAATGTGATAAGCCGTGTTAGTTTGTTGTGGCAAATTCTGTTGCTGCTGCTGCTGATGCTGTTGCTGTTGCTGCTGTTTTTGGTGTTGTGGCGTTGTTGTATTGGCGGGACGCATAAATTCCGGCATATCTGGCATTTTATAATTGTAAATATATGGACGTTCATATTCCCCGGCAGACGAAGAATGCATATACGAAAGAAACAAATCTGATTTGGCTGGATGTAAGTGCGAGGCTAAACCGACCACCGAATAAGCTGCTGTTGGCATCGGATAGCAACTGGCATTCGGCAATTGGCCACTTAATAATTGAGTCTTTGTTATGGCTTGACCGGAAAGTCGACGTATCGGTACACCAATATCGGATTTGGCGTCACGTTTCTTCATATTAACATTTGTCGAAGGTGGACCATTATAGTAATACGGTGCAGCTGGTGAATTTGGCCATTCAAGAAAACTATCCATCTGATTGTTAGTAAAACCATAACCACTTACACCACCACTACCAATGCTGCCAATACTGCCAGCACTCTTAGCTGCACCGCTCTTACTAAACACATTGTTAAGACTAAACTTGTATTGGTTGTTCTCAAATGTGGTGTAGTTAAGCAGACGATTAGTGCTCGGCTTTGAAGTGTTCGCCTCATTAAAACTACCCGGATTAGTAGTGTTCGAATTGTTATTGTTAGCTGAATTAGTAGAGGAATGGGTATTGTGAATGGGCGCCAGTGATTTTGATTTTGATGAGTTTTGGTTAGTTTGGGAGAATTTGAAATTTTGTTTTTGCGCTTGTTGACGCTGTGCATAAAAGGAATTTTGACGCTGTGTTTGCTGTTGATTACTCACAGTTTGTTGCATTAAATTATTGTAATTGGAACCACTACCGGCACCAGCCGATTTACGATGACTACCACTAGAAGCACCAGATGATTTATTCGTACCGTAACGTGTGCTATCACTAGATCTAAAATCATGAAAAAATAAATTAAGTAAAAAACAAAAGTACTAACCCCCCAACCCAATAGTTAATTACGTTTTACCTTTCAGAAGAATAAGCATAATCTTGATCAGCACCTAAACCAGAATCGGTATGCTCATGCGAAACACGTAAAGCTGAATTTTCAAGTGGACTAAGATTAGAACCAGTGGGGGATATAAAATCTCCCATACTCATACTAGACATCATTCTATTTTATTTGAAAAAAACAAATTAGCAGTTACTAACAGAATAACAGAATAAAATGTTTTATTTTACCTTACTAAACCATTGTTACGTTCACATTCGCGTGAAGAAATTGTGCTTGCCGAGCGTATGGAACCATTTTTACCACCAGTGTTATCAGTCGGATGGGAGCTTTGAAAATATAAACTACATCATAGAACAAAACATAATTAAGCAAATTATTTCAACTGATTTAGTTGTTACTTACCCGCGTATACGATCGACACGATTTTTACCCTGTCCATTCCCAGAGCCACTACCATTTGTAATTGTATTGCCAGAACCTGTACTCTTACCACCAACACTATTCTTGCTGTTGCTTTTATGTATCTTAAGGTTTGAATTAGAACGCTTAGAATTCGTTTCCACTACTGTATAGGGAATTTCGCGAAGCTGATCTTCGGTCATGCCAGTTGTATCGACTAGATCAAATTGTAAATGCTTAGCGAGTTCACTTGACCAAATACGATTGCGAGAATCGGATGGAGATCTGTTGTTAGATATGATATAGAAAAAACGATTTATTGAATTTTTTTTGGAATTATGAATGAGTTATTATTTTTCAAATTAAAATTTTATAATAAAAACCATAAGGCACTAATATTGTAATTTTTAGTTCTTTCTCCTTAAGTGCAATGAATATTCATAAACTTACTTATTCTTTCTGTGCCGCCTTGACTTATGATGCGAGTGTGTATCTGAATGACTATCGTTACTGTGTAAGCTGCGAGCCAACATGCTGCTCTTCGACACCGATGCCTGATGGACGGAACTTTGACCTAGACTAGCTTCTGCTTGACGTCGTTGCACTTCGCGCCACTGCAATGCCGAATCAATCAATTCAGCTGAACCACTACGCGCTGAAGAAGCGCGATGACCAGAATAGCTACGTCCACGTGTGCTCTCATGATCTGAACCACCAGAATCTCGACGATGACGCGAACGCCGATGTTTCCGATGATACGAACGACCTGAACGACCAGAACTACGCGATAATTCACTCTCATTATCGGAAGTACGTCGATGTCGATGCTTGTGCCTATAAATGCAAAAAATGAATATAGGTAAACAGAAAAAATTGATTAATAATTGCATAAAATATTAAAGCAATAAAAAACTAATTCAAAATCAATATTGTGGTAAATTAGTAAATATCAAAATCACATTTTACAGTGATGAGCAAATTATAGTATTGCATTTTATACACTAAACACAAAAATATACACTAAAAAAAAAAAAATTATAAAACTACGTTCACAATTTATGCCAGAAACCCTATGAAAAGCAGCCTAACCACTGCTGTGCTGGAGATCTGTAATCTTTCGCAGCAATATGCAATTATATTTATAACTTGACATGAAAAAACCACTTACCTTCGTGTTGAGCGCGAATCATTTGATGAATGACTTTCAACCGAACTTGATCGATATCGTTGCGAAGGTACGTGATCACGCTGGTGAGCAGCACCGTTCGCTTGATGCCGTTGATGTTGCTGATGTTGCTGATGGTGATGCTGCTGTTGGTAATGATGCTGGTGTTGATGGTGATGATGTAGGCCACCACCCGTTGTGCTTGCCGAACGCACTGAGCGTGGACTCGATGGATTATTGCCAAAGAGCGATCGTTGCTGTGACCTCGGCCATGGTGCGCTACGCGTGCTACGTGGTGAATCAGGTGTTTGTATATTGCTGCCATAACCGCTGCCACCATTGTTATTGTGGTTGCTTGAATTATTATTTTGTTGATATGGTCGTATGCCCAAACTAGTAGGAATACTGTATGTTGATCTATAAGGACTCTCATAGTTACTGCAGTACAGGAATGAAGTTAACATACGAATAGAAGAGAAAAGTTATTGCAAAGTAAATTTAAGTTGATGTGTAGAATTAATGCACAATAAAAAATTAAATTTATTATAGACAAATGAGGCTTGGGAATTTTTTATAAATAATTTATGTACGCTTGACGGAACGGACTAAGGCGTGCATAACGATCAACAGTCTGATCGTAACTCAATAAGTTCCTTTTGAAAAAATTGAGAAATTGCATATATGACGTGCGGCATTACTCAAAGCGGTTAGTAAGGTGAGGTGATTTATTAAATTTTATTGATTTTAAAAAGGTGGAAACGAATTTGTGTAATTCGCTGCATTCTCTACTAATGCATCTGCATTATAGACTGCGTTAATCATTGATATGAAATATATATACACTTGAGTTATGTGCACTATACTTACGGTGTCAGCATTCCAGCAACTTTTCCCAACTGCGTTGTGCATTCAAAGTTTTCGCCATTTTTCTGCCCACTTAAAAAGTCTTCAATCATGCGTCTGGGTTGCCGTTTCGATGGTACACGTGTAAATGTTGGTGGCGCACGTCCGATTGAAAGCGTATCCTTCACTACTTGCTTCTCAGAACGGCCACTACTACGAAGTGGTTAATGTAAGAAAAAATGATCCAATAAAAATGGAATAAAAATGGCACAGAAAAATAGTTAAAATATCGTAAAAAAGTTTATGGCTATAAAATGGATGACATTTCAGCTCAACGATAGTGGCGTTGACGTAGGTAGGTAAATGAAGCAGTTTTCGGTGTTCATCAAGGTATCATTTGAGGTCTTAAAATTTTCAGAACTTTTATGTTTCATAAAGATAAAAACTATTTCAAGAAAAGGAAATGGAAGTTAGGAAAGTAGAGTAAAATGTAAAATAATTACATCCAAAATGAAGATGTATAATTGCAGTCGTAAATATCAGAAATACAAAAATTTATTAGAAAAGTTTTATGCCATAAAAAGTTCTAACTTTAAACGATTTGAACAATTTAAAAAAAAAATTGTTAACAGAATAAATGCTGGGTTAAATGAAAAAAATTTTTTTTCCATAAGTTATTCAAATTTGATACCTGTCCAGACAAAAAAAAGTGCTTAGAGAATTCAGTTAAAGTACAGCAATGAATATTATTTCCAACACAAACTCTAGTGACATTTTCAGACAGAGCACCTGTATAGGTTCATATGTTTGGATTCATATATCTTTGTACATTAATATATCTCTATAATCCAAATGAAATTAAAATGAGATGACCAAGTAATTAAACTTCGACTAACTCGAACATTTAAAACGCATCGAATTGGAATTGTTAGAAGCTTCTGATGCTCCTTTTATTATTATTTTAAGTGAAAGTTGGAGTGAAAGTTCTGTATGTGCTTAGTGCTTGTCGATGAACATAGCACCGTTCATCGCACATCACAACTCTGTTTGTCTACGCATATTGATAATAAATTTTTATATACATAATTAAGTGTATCAGATCAGGGAATTGCGGGAAGTCGAATAGTTAATATTGTTTCCATAATAATCATGCAAACATTGTTCTCCAGCTCTTTCAAGGCTGTTATATGTTATCGTTGTTAGATAGCTTTTATTTGTCCTTTTAAAATAAATCTCATAACGATTTAAACTAAGTGATCAAATTGAGATATTGCGATCACATTGCTGATTAAAAGTGTTCCATCAAAAATGTTCGTTTTTGAGTATACTCAAGCTGCTCGAACAAGGTGAATAATTGGTTTTCATTTATTCTAAAAGTTGATTTAACTCTTTGGTATCAAACAAATTATATTATAGAATCATTGGTTATACTACTCTGTTTATATTCCAAGCTGTATTTAGTGTAGACACTTATTTGATACTTGCTAAGAACCGATAACATGTGTAGCTCTTCAGTTTGTATTTGCAAGTTTGGGAGTTATACTGATTAATCTGGTATTTTGCTCTGCTTCTTTGGATTGCTTTAGAATTGAAGAGAAATCAATGTTTTCTTATAGTTGCTAAACATTGTTTGCAAAATAAGGGTCAACATTTATTTTGAACTTAAAAAACTTAATTATTGAAGTTAAAGATATTCCTTTTCTCGATTTATTGAAACTTTTAAAAACAAAAAAAAGAAAAACTTTAAAGGATCAACACCACCACAGCGTTATACACTTTTTCATTTTAAATTTAACCATTTATCTTACAATATTAAAAAATATTAATAATTTTTTATTCCTCTAAGTTTAATACTTACCTATACTTCAGCCGCGAACCGATTTGAAACAGATCCGATGTGTTTGACTGTGAATTTGGCAAAGGCGCGACGCGTAGAGACCGGAAGAAAGCATGATGCTCCACACAGCAGCGCCAGAGATGCTTACAGGCTGACTTTCGCGGAGTTTCGAAACCGTAAGTGCTCAGCTCATTCTGAAAGCCATAAAAAAGTATTCAAAACTAATAAAATCAAATACTACTTTTTGCAGAATATCTCTGCTTGCGTCGTTTAAGGACGTGACTCAACTTTGATTAAATTAAACAAAAAAAAAAATTAAAGTAAAAAATTTAAATTTAACAAAAAGTAAAAAAAAAATCCAAAAAACAGGATTTTAATATGAGAAAGGAATTTTTGAATGTTAGTGTACTTAAAAAACTTTTAGGAAATTTGCGCGTAATCAGGCACTCGTTGATAAAGTAAAACTTTTTACGACGCCTTTGATAGAAAAAAGTGTAAAAACGGAAATAGCAGGAAAAATGTGTCCTTTAGTAAAAATGAAACGAACCAAAAAACAAAATTATGTCGACAAATTCGCGCTTGCGATAAGGATTCCACGATTCCAAGATTCAAGGAATCAAGGATTTTAGTTGCCAGCTACCAGAAAATACAGACGAAAATTTTGTTGGCGAAAATTATCTTAAGCAAGATTTTTGGTTCACACTTTTCCACTTTGTATTTGTTGTTTTTTTTTCCTATGCTGTGTATTTTTCTTTAATGTACACAAAACTTAATGATTGTGAAAAGTTAAAAGAAAATTTTTGTTAAAAAAGAAAGCCAAAAAAAAAAATTCATAGAAATTTACATTTTTATCGCTTATCCTGAGCATAAAGTAGCGTCCTTTGTAGTAAACTTTGGCGATGCGTGGCCAATAATAATGAGCAACGGTCGTTTTATTGCGTAAAACTACAATACCGCTTGGCGTCAGTCCAAGAAAATATTCCACACTATCCTCACCCTGAAATAAGAAGAAAGTTTTCAATAAAATGCAACAAGCCTTGGTGTTAAGTTGAATCTAAAATTAGTAAGAAAAATATGATAATTTTTTTTTTAAACTTAGATTTTTACTGCTACTGAAAACTGCATTGAAATGCAACGTTAGTTCTGATTTTTGTCAACAGTAAAGTCTCGCTTAATTGTGTGTTACTACGCAGAAGAATAGATTTTTATTTCATTTATTATTAGAACTATTATCATATTTTTATGAATTATAATTCTCAATTGTCAGTTTTTATGATACCAGCTAATATTTTAAGCAATCTGTGAACAACAAATTTTTTTATTATATTATTTTTTAGGTATGGCTAGTGGAGTCTATAACAGTAGTTCAGTTAAAGTACAAAAAGAAAAAAATTGGTTATTCAAAAAACAGTGAGTATATATTTTAGCCAAAGTTCGAAACGGGCGAGACAAATATGTGTATGCCCAAGTCTACAATTTAACTGCAGGTTTCTAAATTCCTAAATAACATTAATTCTAAGATAATGATCAGTTTTAAGTATATATGTACATCTACAAGTGACATAGTCATACCCCTAACTAATATACCTTAAATATATAATGTAATGCATACACTTCCACACTTCTAATTTAATATAAACATAATTTCAATTCGACTCAACGCTTCTATCTTAATATAAACATAATCTCAATTGGAAGCAACGCTTCTATTTTATTGTAAACATAAGTTCAATAGAACAAAGGCTGGAAATGACGCCCGCAAATTACAAGCCCAGCATTAATGTATCTTTTGTGAAGCATTGCCTTTTATGGTAATATTTAGATGCGAAGCTGGAAGTGATACTCAGATGTTAAGGTTTAGACATAAATTTTTTATTTCATTATATACATTCAATCAAACGAATCAAACAAATCGGTTGTGTTTGGTTTTTTTTCAAAAAAAATACGATTTGTAACTTATATATACCTATATCTACATGTGCACCTTTAGATCAACTATACTACTACTACTTATACCAAACCCGAAATAAGATCAAGTATATGAACTTTCCAAGTCCAAGTTACGAAATAACATCAAGATAAATTTTAATTTAATCTCTAAGCTGTAAACTACGTTGTCTTAGCACCAGTGCTATATCAGGTAGTGTCACCATGATTATGATTTAAAAAATTTTTAAAGTCATCATCATAAATTTCCAGGTTAATGTTCTAAAAGTCTTTTCTAATGATGGTCTATTACTAAGATTGTGTTTGAAACACTCGTATTCATTATTCCAAAGGTGTACTTGTTATTTCCTGAGTATTATTGATTAAAATTTTGATTGTGCTTAAAAAATTCAAGCGTCATATATGTATACTTGATAACTAGATCGTAATAACAATCTAGTTATCTACACTTCCTTCGAATTTTAATTCTGTTAGAAAAGTAAAGTGTATTTAAGCTATGAAATAAGGACTTAAATAAAAAATGTTCTATAACAATTTTTTAAAATTATTGCTTTTCTAAAATTTTTACTGCAAATTAATTTAAGCAATACACCTGCCTTCTTAAGTTCTATTTTTTTTTTTAATTATTCTTCACTCTTTTAAAGTTAAAGCCTCAATCAATCTTCTACTACAATATTAGCCTATTCTTTTTCTCTGTTTCTCTTCAATTCTGCTCAGATTTTTTTAAGCATTTAAGTATTAGTGTGGTTTACACAATACAACATTTACATTTCTCTATATCTACTCTACCTCTATCTTTCTATTTTCTACCTTTCTCTGTCTATCTTTTTCTGTACCTTTCTCTGTCTATCTTTTTCTGTCTTTTCTCTCTCTCTCCGTATATTTTTCCTTTTTTTTTTCTTTTTCTCTAGGAAAAATTCTTCTCGCTTCCTCTCTCTTATCTCTATAAATATTTCTATTGTTCTTTTCTTCTCACTCTTTATGTATCTATCTTTCCCTCTCTCTCTGTGCCTTTTTCTTTCCCTTTATCTCTCCCACATTATTTGTCTTTAATTTTAATATTTATTTTCGGAAACAATAGTTTGAATATATCGTTTACTAAGAAATTGCTTTTGAATCTATAATATTTTGATCATTTTTATTTATATATTTCTTCTTCACACTATCTCTCTCTCTGTCTCTCTCATTTCTTTTATTTTAAAGACATATATTTTATTTTGGGACCTATAGCTTGAATTAATCGTTTAATATGAAACTTGTTTTTTATTGAGATTATTTCAAGGCTTTGGATTTGGATACGATCGTAAATAAAAAGTTTTACACTCTTTTCATTTTATACTCTTTTCAACAAGGATTTTTTCAGAAATTTGTTTAATGAAAATAATAAATTGACTTTCCTCAATATTAACACCCATTATTTCAATTTAAAAATTATAAAAGTTTCTATGTTTATTGGGTTCATATAAAGTTTATATGAAGCACAAAAACTAATTAAAATCTCAAAAATAAACACATTAAAAATATTATGAGCTTAAGGAAAAAAATTAAATTTGGCTCATTCATTAAAACACTAAAATAATAAAAGTTGATGGTGACGCTGTGATAGCAAATGATATGTGTAAGTTTCCATAGACCCATGCCATACCATATGGAATCATTGGTGAACGCTAACATGCCATTGAGAACGAATGCGAATATGAAAAGTCCAGAGCGCCCGCTGAAGGTGATTTATATGGTGCACGATATCAAGACGACCATAAAAAATGTAAATGAAGCGAAAATTTGTGGCACAGCACAATCAGCACCCACAGTAAAGCAAAAATACAGTTTATATGAGAGGGTTCCCCAATTCCAACAATTCCACAGCCAGTAAAATATTGTAATAATCATAAAAAAGGAGCAGTCAGTCGTTTACACTGTGTGCTCATAATGGTCAAGCGGTGCTTTTAGTTTGGCTCAATTCAGTCAGTTTGGCACGGTTTCGTTCGGTTCGGTTTGGTATGGTTTGGTTTGGCTTGGTTTGGCTTGGTTAACTGACAATAAACGCCAAAAGCCTGACAAATGAGAAAAAAATTATTTTTCGTGTCGAAAAATTTTATTGCGAGATCCTTTTTTGAGATATGATGAGCACATGCACACATCACATATAAATGAACTTTTGGGGTAGTAATTTTTAATGTTTGTCTTAAATAAGCAGCAAAAAATAAAACTAAAGTAACAGTTAAATGTTTAACTGTATGTGTTCCAAAATATTTTCGAGTAGCACAAATATTAGAAGAAACTCCACACATTTATCATATCAAAACGGACCTTAAAACTAAAATTAATCACTTCAGCTTATGTCTTAGAAAATTTAATGATTTTACATAAAACTTACCAGTACAGGATGTAGATCCACACCGTACATGTCATGCCATTTGACTTTGTCCAAATAGTTAAGCTCTGCTGTTGCCGGCGACATGCCTTTTAATTGCTGATGCAGTTCGCCAACGCGTGTTTCCAGTTCACTGCTTTGATTCGGCATCAAACGAAACTCAGATACGTATCCTTTGGAGTGGCGCCTTTGGTCATAATCACCCAGTTCAGCTGTAAATGAGTAGCAAAATTAATGAACTATATCCAAAGGCTGTTTATGTGTTCGCTTAATTATGAGTTTCAATGAAAACATAATGCCATTTTTTATGCAACAATACACAAAGTTAGGTTTAATGGAGTTTGAAATTAATTCAATTTTTCCTTTGTGAAGACATCCTGTTATTGAAAATGAATAATAGCTCCATTTATGCAATAGGTGTAGTTCATTTTGCAATATGCAAACTACTTAAACACTAAAAAACCGTCAACAGGATGTCAGGATGTTTAGTTTATAAACAGGATATACAATACGCATTATAAAGTCTATTACAAATAATGACAATTTTCAACTTATTTTTTTTTATTTGTCTGCCAATGAGATTTAATCATTTTTTAAAATAAATGTACCTAAGAGTTCTTCTATATCTTTTAATATATATTTGTTAGCATTTATTGATTTTTTTAACTTACATTGCACGACAAAAGCGCCCAACTCGGCAGCTAATTCAAAAGCAACTGGTAATCGTCCTTGTATCACATCCTGTTTGACTTGTAAAAATAATTGATATCTAAAAAAAATAATATTATTTAATATTTGTGGACTCACTGCTGAAATTCTCTAATTTTAACTCATTAGTTTTCATGTTAAATACTTAGCGTACTAAGCAGATTTCACCAATAAATGGGTTACAATAACTACAATATAAAATATGTAGAATAGTAAAAGCATCAAATCAATAACAAATTATTTACTTGATTAAGAACAGTGTGAACAGTTTACATATGTCTTGATATAATGAATATTTTAATAACAATATATCATTACAAATAACAATCTATAGCTACAAATAACTATAGAAGATGAATAAATATAGTAAAGCATATGCACTTTTCACTACCCTAAATGGATACTCTCAACAATATTCTCAACAGGCCTCTACCTAATATCTCCCCGAAAAAACGTCGTCTCCCCCATGAAGCAAGAACTGTTCTAGCTCAATTAAGATCAAGATATAGTCATGTGCTAAACAGTTACTTGTCACGCATAAACACGTCCATTCCTAATGTGTGCTCAAACTGCATCTCTAGTCCCCATGACGTCGCCCATCTGTTCTCTTGTCCCACTGCACACACTTATTTAAGTTCAATCGACCTTTGGACTAATCTTCTTGCGTTAGCTAGATTTCTAAGACTGGATACCGGTTAATTTCAATTATATCCTTCCCATTATTCCCTTACCATTATCCCCTTAACTCTAACCCCCCCATCCGCTCCCTTACCCCTGTATTCGTCCGTTCAGATCTCGAAAAGAATATATAAAAAATTCTTTAAGAAATGAAACGTTTTATTTATTATACGAGTATTGTTTAACATCTAGAGGTTCCAACTTTAGAGTAAATTTGTGAGTATTAAGTTCAGTGAGAAGTACAGAGTTCTGGAAATTTATGTACAACTAATAAAATAAATGAAAACGAAAACTAATGCTACTCTTTTTCTGTTTTTTAAGATTATTAGGTGTTTGGCTTTATAACTATTTCATATTACTTACCTTGTAATTTCCTCGAGTAATTTGCATGGATCCGCCGCGTAAAATTTAACACCAAAGTATAAATCATACGGATCTGGCTTCGGTTTTAATTGCCTTGATATGCGCGATGCTGGATCCAGCCAATGCTGCAAAAGGGACGAATATAAAAAATAATGAATAAAAATTTAAAATTTATCTCATATAGTTTTGAATAAACAGTTTAAAGCAGTTTTTAATGCAATATTACAATTTAAGGAATTTTAAAGGAAATTTAAATTTAATTTTTTTTCTTTTTTTTTGTTATATTTTTCTAAGACTGTTAAGTACGTTTTTTAGTGTTTGCATTTAAACGTACTTAAAAAAGGGGAAGATATCAGTGAAAGTGCAATAGTAGTGTATTTTTGTTATGGGTTTCTGGTAAGTGAAACTTGGCAAAGTAAAAGGAAGAAAAAATGAATTTTAATTTTAAGTTCAAGGATTTGCTATTCTCTTTACTTTTAGCATTTTTTTTTTTTCAAATCTAACCATGACGTACTGAAATTGTTAGGGTTTTTAAAAACTTAATGAGTTTTGCTTCAGTCTTCCATTGAATTTTTGGAAATATGTATGTACTGCATTTGAAGTGAACGTACTTAATCCACTCATTTTTTTTTGTTAAATAAATTTTGTAATGATTTTATTCATTTTTAATATTACAGATAAAACACTTTTAGATTTCAATGCACTTAGAAAGAACAATGGTAGCTTTTATATGCAATTTTACCACGAGCTAACCAATTTTAATTACCAAGTTGGTATGCATTTTACTCGTATTCAAAATTTCTATTCCCCCAACAAAATCACTGACCATTAGTATTAGTTTATCTAAACTTCATTTATTTTTTGATATTTTCAATATTTTTTTTTAAGTTTTTCCTTTCTTTCACTTAAAATTCTCAATAGAATTAAATGAAATTTCGTTCACAGCCTAAAATTCGAATGCAAGTCCAACGTCTGAAAAGTTTGCCAAGTTACTTCAAGTTTGGGGGTTCCTGCAGTTTTATATGGGAATACTTTCCATACATATGTACATACACACAAACATTCAACATCAAATCTAGGTATATTTTTCTGTTTACTTACTGTTTGATTTTCCTCATCAATGTAGCGTAGTCCAAAGTATGAGGTTTCGATTAAATTTAGTCTTGCAAAAACAACATCTAATAGAGCTTGTCCTGGTAAATCATCCTGAAAATACCGAAATAGAAAAAGAGAAATGAAATAAGCTTTATGTGTGAATAAGCGTAGTAAAAATTTAAATTAGACTCACTACAGTGAGTGTATGTATAATCTACGGATGGATATCTGCCAATACAAAAACAATTTACTTACATATTAACTCGTACATAAATATTTTAGTGCTTTAAAAAAAATTTTAGTACGATAAATTCGGCACGTCAACATGAGCATAAATAAAAATATGACCATACAGGCAAAGTAGCTACTCTAAGGTATATGGATATACTCCCATCCCATACAAGTAAAAGTATTTCTGATTTTAGCACAACCTTTTTATTAAAGTGTACGCAAAATAGGGATACGTACTAGACTAGTATTATGAAAGTAATAAAAAACCATAAAAAAAAATAAGAAGTCATTACTCATTCATCAGTAATAATTTTGAGAAATGCTGCAAAATACCACAGGGAAATGGGAAGCTGATTGAGCAATTTTAGTAGGGTTGCCAGTGAGTTTTGGTTTCGTGTAGCAGCTTATTGCTCAGTATTGTTGTTGTGATCCAACCCAAAATACCCAAATTTTGTGTTTGACTTAATTTATGGTTTTTCTAAAGACTCTTATTTCCCTTTCCATTGAAAGAAATATTTCTTCTATTTACTAACTCCGTTGCAGCTCGCAGAGTTTCGAATTTTTTATTAGTGAAAGCAATTGTTGTGCTTCTCCTAAAATTTCCCTTGACAATTGTTTTATTTGAATTGGCTTGCTTTACTGTTGATTTGTAATAAAGTTTATTTTGACCAATATGATTTGACCGCAGCTCCATTGTGGTTTTCTATATTCCCATTATTTATTGCAGTATATTCAAGACAACATAATTTGATTTAAGCACAATAGAAAGCAATATCGTACGTACATTGATTGCATTTCTTATATTAGGTATTTATAAATAAAGTAATTTTAAAATTTTATAGATGCATATAAATCAGACACTCTTTTTCTAATGTATTTTCAAATTCAAAAGCTAATTCAAGAAAAACATTAATTGAACAATGAATTTCAAAGACTCTTTGATATAATATTTTATATATGCCTTTTTCGGATACAAATGTCATTTTTTTTATTAAGAGTTACAGAAGGCCAATAATATAGTCTAAGAACATGTTGCCCTTACATTGCTTTTCACATTAGCAGTTTATATAGGTATACCATTAAGCCAAACGAAATTGCACAGTGTCCTTAATGGAATGGACTGACTGGATTTATGCGCGTATCTTATCCAAACCCTAAAATTAAGGCAACAAATTATAGATGAGATCTTTTAACCGCACTTATTTATGCATAACGACAATAGTTACTAATTATAATATCAAATTTGCTACAAGATTAGAGGGATAAAAAAAGTAGGCAATCGCTAAGTTAAGCTAACGACAGTAGATCATATCTTCAAGTAAATAATTTATAAAATATGGATAATTATTGTGTTTTTAAATTATTAATAAAGAATACTACTACTACTATCGAGGTTGGTGGTAGGTGACTATACCTTCAAATCTGTTAAGGATTTCATCTACTTTGACACCACCGTAGTGTCGCAAACATCAGTATTTTCTGAAGCAGCGGAGATATTAAAATGAAATTTTTTTTATATAAAATTGTTGAGATGGACTTTCTCAAAAATAAATTAAATTCAATATTTCTACTGGTGCAGAAAATACCAAAGTTTGATTGCCCTATTATGTTTGCGAAACTGTGCGATGAAACAACAACCTAGCCTAGAGAATGGATGACGAATCATCATTACCTATAGGTGCTGCCATTAACTCAGTATGCAATTTGGATGTATAGCTCTGTTTTGACAAACAAAACTTACGCTCTATAGGTCACTGATTCTAACTGTGAAATAAGTTGTTTTTTGACTCACTTAAGAATTATGAGATTTAGAACACTTTCGAAGTAAAAAACATTTAAATTTTTTTGTAAATGTATTAACTATTGAGAAGACTCTTGAATAAGCTCAAATGATCTGCTAAATATCCTAAATTTAACTTTCTATAGACTTAGGCTTCTTGTAAGAAATATGATAGTAAGGCGGCAAAAAATTGCTAATTATGGACAGCGAAAATATATCTACTAACCTGCTGCCTTTAACCACATAACTATTCAAAATCTTCCCATATATCCATTAGCAGTGCCCTTTGGAAATATTTTTCAAAGTTATTTTTTAACTGTTATTTTAAACACATATATATAAAACATGCCTTATTTAAAACATGCCTAACATATATATTAAAACTAACCTACCACCAGCCGTATTGAATAAAAGACTGGTCATTATTGACATTTTTAGATAGCAATTTTTTCCTATTTCTAAATAAATTTAATTAATTATTTTCTAACAAATTCTAATAACAAATAAAAGCATACAAATTAAATAATTTATTTTAGCAATGTTATTCATTATCACATATTAATATTTAAACTACTTCAATTAATAGTTTCTCTACTCTCTTTAATCTTTCATTATAATGTTAATTTTAAGCCTTTCACTTAAGTAGCCTTATGTACTCAGAAGTCCATACAAATCGTAATACCATCAAGTATTACGAAATCTTAACTAATCTGGTAAATAAAAACTCCTTTGTGGTTAATTTGTGTGCGTAAGACCAGTGGAACACACCTAACGCACTGATACCAAAATACATATCAATTTTTGTCTACAACAACAACAGCAACAACCAATTTATGCAGAATATATTATACACAAAACTAAAAACGATTTGGATTCATTTATCCTGAAAGTCTGCTTCATATGCCTACAATCCAATATGTCCACCCAATATAAACAAAAACATTAACAAACCTTAAACAAACAGAAGAACGAACTTAAGAAAGCTAAAGTAAATTAAATTGTTTAAGTCATTATTATTATTGTTCTTGTTGTTGTTGTTGTTGTTGTTGCTGCTGTAGTTTAGCCAAGTTCCTTCACTTGACCACTCATCACGTTACTTCAAATCTCTTTATTTAATTATACTTATTAGAAGAGCAGCCAACACAATATGGGTTAAAATTCTGTCGCAACCACTGCAGCGCGCCTGTTTCTACAGCTTACTGTTACTAGCGCTGACGCTGGCGTAGGCGTTGGCGTTGTCGATGGTACTGCAGCAGTTCTTCTGCTACCTATCGTCGTACTTATCACTGGCACTCACTGGCAACTGACATTAGTACTCAAACTAAATGAGTTTATTTCTATAGCCTAGTTAGGCAGCAAAGAATAAGGGCATAATTAGTGGTAAGAACGTGGTTAACCGTCTTAGTTGTCCTATGGGTAAGAAAGAGCGCGCACAAATAGACTAAAACGAAGACGGCGAGGTGGAAAAAGTGCCAACACATGTAAAGGGATTTCAAAGCTTAAGATTTTGTATTTGTTGTTGTTGTCGATGTTGTTGTTTTGCAAAGATGTTTTTGATGCAGACATCTTATGAAGAGCGTTTAATTGAAAGGCTTTTGTGTGGCACTTTGAAAAGGAAACGAAAATAATTAAAATAAAACAAAATAAATACAAATAAAATGACCAAGGAAAATTACTGGTATTTAGAATACAAAAAAAAAAAGATAAAGAATGGATAGTGAAAAAGGGAAAAAGGCAAACGAAAGTCACAAATTCATATGCAGCATAGGCAGTTCATTTACTGTTCTTTTAGATTTCTAATAGAATTTCATTTTCCTTCTATTTTTTTTTTTTTTTGAAGTTTTTATTTGGAAACCTTTCGATAATCATTAATCGCTTTATATTCGTAATTGATTTTCATTGTTTTGATTATAAGGATTAGAATCAGATGCAGAAAGCTCTTAAAAAGGCTCAAATGAGGTTTGAAAAGATAGATATTTTGTGGCTTATTTTTTTTTCGAATAGAATATACTAAACCTTTCGTCTGTAGAAAATACCGACGTTATTATTTTATAAAGACAGTGAAAATTTTTAATACGATAAGTTGAAATTAATAATCTAGTAATTGAAATAATTGAATTATAGATTATATCAAAATAATACCAATACAACTATATAGAATTATTGAAACACCATGATATCAATTCAATATTAATTACACATTGAAAAGTGGTAAAATTAAAATAAAGTAGATAAAAATATTAAAGCTAACGTAATATAAGATTTGTGATATGATTATAGTCAGATTTTTTTGACCTGATAATTAACATTAACAATAATTAACTGCTGCGAACCGCGACCTATAAAACGACCATGCAATCAGTAGTTTTACGAGTCGTGTACGAACAATATCGGGAGATGGGAAAGGAAGAGAACCAACCCTTGAGAAGGAACAAAGGAGTGAGGAGAGCAAGAAGAATAAGAGAAAGAGGAAATTGAAGTGTGTAGAAGCAGGAATGATGCTTGGAAGTTTTACCAAGAAGTAAAACATTTAACTCAAAGGTTGAAGCAGACAAAATGCACTGAACGAGCTGCTATTGAGCGATGTTAACATTAATTGTGTATTTGGAAAAAAGTTTCAGAGTCCCTAATCGAAATTAATGGTTTTGAACCTTCATCACTCAGCAATAATAAAGTGTGTGTTGCTATACAGCGATTAAAAAACAAGAAAACGGAAGGTGCAAATAGCCCATCTGCACAATTGTTTATAGTGGCGTAATATGTTTAAACGAAGGTATACCCATCGATCGCGGGATCAGCGATAGTTGGTACCTGTCAAGTAGTAAGTCCTTTTAACTGTATTGTATGAAATATCGCTTTACCATTCACACAGGAACAAGTACGTTCTCTTTGCGGATTATAAAACAGCTTCCAACAGTTCTATAAGAGATTGCATATACGCTGCAATGGCTTAGCTCGGAGAGACGTTGAACTGCACCCATAGCTCCGTCATGATTGTATCAGGACAAGATGATATTTTATCATGTGATCTCTTCAATTTAGTAGAGACAATCAAAACTTACGCTTTGGAGGTCACTCGTTCTGTGTTTCTGTATGACGC